CAAAAAAAGACTGCAAATAGCCTGATGGCAATACAAGTATTTTAAAGTTTACTGAAATCAGCTGATATAAAATAGAGATAAACTCTAAACTATTGGTAAGACAAAAATATTTCAACATCAATGAGGAAATATCTTTACTCAACAAGACTTTAAACAAGAGCAAAAACAGGTGGGAGAGAACATCTCTAGATGGCCCAAATGTACCCAGTCTTAGCTTTTCTTGGCTTTGGTGAGAGGCAAGACAATGTTTCAACAACATTTTAGCGAACTTTGCTACAAGGTTGTTGTTTTGGACAAACTGAAGTACAATAGTGAATACAAGTACGATTGTTGTTAGGGTACTCAATCTCTAAGTATACTGTATTACTGAACTCGATAATAGCATATAACTACAGCAACGTAACTTATGCAACCGATCCTTCAGAATGTTTGATCTATCCTTGATATCAAATGGTAAAATTAAACCCTGGTCGAGCCCTTTATAAACTCAAAGAATAGCATAGCAACAATCACGCCACAAATATCGTAGATTAAAAAAATCACACCAAAGCTTTTACCTTGTTCAATCACAATGTCCCTAACTGAAGGCAACAAAACATGCTTCTCTTTCTTTAATTCACCAAAACATGGAAATGGCACCGGCCTGGTAACCTGAGCTAAAGAAAAAAAGTATTATCCAACAGAAGACATACATACATAACTTGGCATGACATCAAAGGAATTAACATACAATTGAACAATATGTTTACAGCTTCAAACTATTTTATAAATTCCCGTCCAAATTGTTAATTTATAAGTAACATACAGTCGGCCTCAAATTATAAAATGATTAGCAAACTACACCTTTGAATCATAGAACTTTAAATGCAACCCAAAATATCAGTAAAAGCAACAAATGAAAACATAAAAAGTGAAAGAAGTGTAGTGAATTTACTTTATATACAATGGCATTTGGAGTGAGATAGAGCTTTCTGGAGCGGATATCTTTCCGTAGTATATATCTCCTTACAGGTAAATACAACAGCATGAACAAACCAATACCCCAAGCCAATATCAAAAGCAATGAATATAATACCCATCGAGCAGTTTGATATTTCACAAAATTGTCTTCTTTCTCCCGAAACGACGCCGTATACAAGACAGTATCACTATTATCGTCCTCAGCTTTTTCTATGTCTTTATCAGATAACAAACCCCTCTCCAGATTCTCAATTTCTACGACTTCATCTCCAGATCCCATCTGGGTAATCACAAAATCCCACACCTCAAATTTAACCCAAATCAAATTTCACCAACTAAAGTCGAAAACTATCTCTGTAAGCTCCTCTTTTTTTTCAGGCGTCGTTATGAAGAAAACCCAGAAACTAACTCGAATGGGTACAAGAATTAACAACAGAAGCTTACCGGCTCATCAACTGGTGGTCTTTGAGTTTCGATGTTGAATCCGAATCGAACTTTGAGTGTGTTATCAAATGGAGCGACCGGGAAACGAAAATTGTGTTCTCTGCAATCTTGACCGTTGGTATTAATTGGAGACGTGAATGATGTTGACTTGGGAGCGTTGGATGGTGATTAGGAAGTGAAAAGAACTCTATTTGGAATTGAATAAATAAGACCAGTAGGTGCGGACCGTGCGGTGTGGCGCTGTGCTCTGCCTCTGGTCTCTATTACATTTTTTACTGCTTTAGAACACTCAAATCAACGTCAATCACGATTATCGTACTTAGGCATTGTAATTGCAAAAATCAAAATCCATTTCATCGATTAAATATAATAAAACAGAAATTATTTCCTTTAATTCTACCCACAAAACAGTTCACTTTATACCTTAATCTCTCTATTTTCTCAGTTTTATTACAAACTTTGTTTACTTAGCGGATTGTACAGTAGTGATAATGAAAATGAGAATGTTTCCTTGAAATGAAAATAGTAATCAAATAAAGATAAATAGTAATGAAATAATTTTTTTTTTTTTTGGCTTTATTTAACAAAAATATCCTAAGTCTAAATTATATATATATATATATATAAAGCTGAATATCTATCTTAGTTGATCAATATGTGACACATTTTGGAAGCTTTAAAATTATTCCATTTTGACACATTGGATTGACAACTAGGATTTGTGGTTTAATGAGTCCAATATGATTGTTTCATCTTGACAAATTGGGTTTGTATTTACTGCTCATGTTGGATTTGTATTAATAATTAATAATTAATAATTAATAAAAATGATATTAATAATTAACAATAATACTAATCATATAGGTACATTGCATTGATATTCCAAAGGTCTAACTATAATGACACATTGGATTTGTGATTGTCATGTGGTTGAATTTTATTAGTGATGAAATAGACAATATTAATTACTGCATTGGTATTCCAAAGTTGGATGTGTGGTTTAATGAGAAATTAATGCACTACATTGATATTCCAATAATAATAATATAGATGCATTGCATTGGCATTCCAAAGCTGTAACTATTTTGACGCATTGGATGTGCATTAATAACAAGTATACAAATGCATTGGATTTCTATTAATAATTGTGGTTTAATGATATCATTCTAGGATTGTTATCAATAATTATATAGGTACATTGTATTGATATTGCAAACATTTCTTTATATTCAATTCGTATTTAATTGTGTTGGCATTTCGAAAGATCTAAATAAAGGGTTATAAAAGGGGCGTATATTCAGTTGTATATTATCGCAATATGTTAGTTGGTGTCAATTAGGGGTGTTCAAAAGAACAGTTCGGAACCGAAACTGTTGGATACCCAGGGTTTAGTTTTGGTTCCTACCCAGAACTGATCGTCAACGGGTAGGTTCTGGTTCCAAAAATCTGGAATCGACACTGTACGGTTCCGGTTCCGGTTCCTACAGTCAAGAACTGGAACCAAGAACCAGGACTGAAACGAAATATTATTAAGGAGTGGGGGGGTTTTTGTAAGTTACCTGCCACATATAAAAACTTCATATTAGGGCAAAAAAATTCATTGTTTCTTTCTTCCCTTCCCAGTTCTCTTCGTCTATGTTGCTTTTTCTCTCTATTCACTCACGTCTATGTCGCTCTTTCTCTTACTCAAACAACATTCACGCACATACAAAAGACTCCTCTCAAACTCAACTCCCAACTCAACTCACCTTTTAAAAATTTTCCCTTTTAACTCAAAACCCTAACCCCTCACTTACCCACTTCTACACTATTCTTGAACTTCATTTCAATTCACTTTTCACCTCTTTTACTCACATACTCAGGTCAGTTTTTTCTTTTTTCTTTTTAATTCTTTTTTCTGTTTTGTTTTTGTATTTTCTTAGTGGGTTCTTGCTCTTTATGGCTAATGAGTAGAAAGTTTCTTCCTTTGGAGATGTTGATGCTCAAATGGGAAGTGAGGGTTGTCAGTGTTTGAAGTTGAAGTTGATTTGTTTTTGGAAACAAAAATGTGGTTTTCACATTATCTTGGAGTGTGGTTATGTTGATTTTTTGTTCTTGAAATTGTATTGCTTTGTGACTTTGTCTGCCAATTTTGATCTTGCCGCTTGTGCTATTTCAATTTTGTAATTACAACTTTTTAAGTTAATTTTGTTCGTTTGTTAAATTGAAATGTTGCCCAAACCACCCATATAAGAATCGTTTGTCTCAATGACAAATTAGTACTCAACAATGTCATTTTTGTCCTTGCTTTCCATATAATGAAATGGTACAGCCTGAAATGTACCTTCATTTTCTCGTTCTCCCTTAAGGACCTTTGTAAAATTACAACGCAACATAGCAACGACAGCAACAAAATAAATGTGATAAGATTCATAAGAATTAGAAACATTATAAACTATAGCTCATTTTTAATTTCTTATATAGTTTATCCCTCCTATTGTAAATCCTTATACAACCTTTTCTAAGTCATCTTCTTCCTTGTCTAAAACCTTTAAAGCTCTTGTTAGACCTTCCAGGAAGCTAGTAAAAGAGTATGTCTAGACTAGTACTTTTGTTAAATGTCAAATTTCAACCACAACTTAAGAACAATATGTTACTCTAGAAATCCTTCAAGAATCCATTGCCTAATGGATCCATGAATGATACTCTCATGTGCACTTTGGTGCTATCAGACTTGATTTATTTACCATGGCAGAAAATGGCTCCTAGTCTCAGTCTGAATTGCCCTATTAGACACCAGATTTGTTCATTATCAGCATGCTTGCATAGGAACAACAAAAACAACTTTGAATGCTGGAACTGTCATCATGACATTATTTCCTAATTTCAATATGTCTCTCTCCGATGTTCATTGCTCCAAAACTCTCAAAGTTCAACTACAGATTGTTGGTGCAGATTTGAATCCAGAAAGTATTGCAGCCACTTTGCATTACTAGGTGGTTTGGCGAATTCAAGACCATGCTCTTGATCTCGCTATTCCTACGACTATCGATGCGCTGCTTCTTACTGTTGATTCTTATAATACTCCTCACTATATCAACATCCCCAAGTAGATCTACAGAGATGACTTGATTAAACTGTTACCAGACTCTTGGGTGACAAGTTATCAGTCTCTTAACAAAAAATAAACACCAGTAGTTTCTACAGACTCTACTATGCATGATAACAATGACGGTACAACAACCATCAGATTTAGATCCTCCATCTCCAAAGCCTCATCGTCCTTTATCTATTGATAAGGCTCCAATGCAAATGATGATGATGAAAGATCACCAGATTTCTGCTAATCTTGTCTCTCCATAAAGTCCTCTTTCTTCTAATTATATGAGTTCTTTTCTGAAATACAACATCTTGCAGCCTCTGGTATTACTCAAGCTTCTTCATCTTCCTTCCAAACAGAATCAGAAGCTGATATGATTTCTACTAACGAATCATTTGATAATAGCTTTGATTCTGCCACTGATACTTTTGATTAACATTTCAATGATTATCCACAATTAATGACCCATTAACTCGAACCCTTAAGACAACCTGTTGTCTTTGAAGTTGATGATGAAATGCCTAAAGGTTATGATTTCATTTCGGATTCTCCGCCTATGTATCGACAATCCCGTCATACTACATTTGAGCATGACTCTCATACAGCTTTAGCCAAGCTTCACACTTTTACTGTTGATGATCTGCCTCCACATAAATGGAGAAATCACATGTATGAATTTGAAGCCTGGTTACAAGCTGAGATGCTTAAACCTAATGCCCAAGTCTCTACTGATCTTACACAGTTTTCAGCTAGATTTGGTGGAATTCTTCGTGATTGGTGGATTAGTCTTGGGGAATACATACAAGCTTTGTTTATCCAAATTCCAGATTTTAATCAAGCTCTGTATCTCCTCTATGATGAATTTTGTAGATTACCTCATCTTTATGAAGACCAGGTTAGAGAAGCATATTTTAAGATGCAATGTTGTTCTCTCAAAAAGAAAGATCTTGACAGACATTATAAAGAAATGTTGAAACGATATCATGTACTTAGAGGGATGGATGATCCTAATATGAAGCAACTCTTTTTAGCCTCCATTCTAGAATCTCTAATCCATGAAGCAACCAAGCTCATGCAGTCTCAAAGCAAACAACTTGGTTCCGCTTCTCTTGAAGAAATTTATGAGTTTGTCATTCTTGCTCTAAAAAACCTTTGTTCTGAGAAACAATTTTTGATGATTATCTTAAGCGCTCTAAACAACTGACAAAGGTTTGTCATAGACCAAACTTGTAGATCAAGTGTAAGTCAGATTGTTGATATTTCCATCATTAGCCTTCTCATGTCACATACCTACAACAAAAATCCAGATCTTCCCCACTAAATATTCCACTCCTATTTTTGTTATAGCATTTTTTTTTATACTGGTGCTATTCATATTATTATCAATCCTAAGATCCTCCCAGTGGAAACCTCATCAAGAAGTTTTCTATATTTCTAATAGTGACACTTTCACTACTCATTTGATCAGCAAACCCATTAAAATCTAATTTTTTCTAGAATGTTTCACTTTTCACAAAGTTCCTGGTTCTGATTTACTTGGCAAAGATATGGTTCTAGGTTTTTGATGTTTATTATAAACTCAATAAACTTAGAATCCCCTTAATGATATTCGGTACAAAATGTTTTGAACCATTTGAGAAAAGTCATCAAAGAGTGTAATTCAGAGGTTGAGGATGATTGATACTGGGAAATTATTTTCAACATATAATGGACTGGGAATTGAATTGCAATGTGGTGCTAGTATAATATATACAAAAGAACTATAATAATTCTTCTAGAAATATGATATCTGGATCAGGAGGTAAACAGAAAATTTTTGAAAATGGATAATCAGGATGAACACCTAACATATCATATACGAATTGTCCACATTTAGCTCTTCTTCTTGAATAGTACTTGGGTATCACAATTCTGGATAATCTTGTATATCTGAAGTGACATTTAATTGAGTAGTGATAAAACTTATGTATGTTTGTTTAGTCTGGAGTAATTTCTTAGTATAGGTCGAAGGAAAGAGTTTCTATAGAATATCATCACAAAAAGATGACCATATCTCATTTAGAATTGTCTATTTTTCTCTAATCATATAGATCCACGATCAATTCGGGTGAATCGAGTCCAGTTGGGTCTTGGTTAATATGGATGCACGAGTCACGGTTGGCGCTAGCGCACATAGAAATAAGATGACGTGGCTTTAGCTAATTATGAAGGCCCTCACGTTATCTGTTACCAGTCACCAGTCACCAGTCACCATCTACTCATTCTGCGATTCATGAATCCGCGGACCATAACTCAGTGAGCCACAAAACCGTTTGCCAGCGGACCATAACTCAGTGAGCCACAAAACCGTTTGCCAACTCACAATCACCGAACACTCGTTACTTGCCAAAATTACCCTTAATTCGTCTTCCCTGTCTCCAAAAGCATACGCTCAGATTATAGGCTATAACAGTAAATTCAACTAAACTTTTTAGCACAGAATAACAGCCTTGAAAATACGCATCAATATTGTCGCTCAACAGAACAAAAGCCAAAACAAAACAAAACAAAATAAAACATCCTTGTATTATTTCGTTATCATCGCCAAACAACAATCGGCAGGAAGTTCTTCGTCGGCGGTAACTGGAAATGCGTGAGTTTCTGATTCAGCTTATTCAAGCGTTGATTAAGTTGCGCTCAATTTGATTGATCAAATCACGAGATCTTCTCATTTTGGTTTAAATGCTTAATACTAGTATGATGAATTAGTTATTTATGAGTTTGTTTTGAATTTGAGTGTAGAATGGAACCAATGAAGAAGTGAAGAAGATAGTGAATGTACTCAATGAAGGTCAAGTTCCATCTCAAGATGTCGTTGGTAAGTACATGTCGTTTTCCATTTATTTGATTATTATCTCAGATCAATACTTGTTAATCTGTCTTGAAATGTAGATGAGTTTACTTACTACAATTTTTGGTTAAGCTTAAATATCAATTAAATTTATTCGAATTTGACTGAGAGTTTGGTTAATTCTAGTTAAGAGGTTTATGTTACAATTTAAATATAATCTATCGAGTTAACTGCCGAAAAAGAAACTGCTATTGTTGTTTTGTGTGGGTGATCAGAAGTGTTGACGTGGTGGAATTTTGATTATATTACAGAGGTTGCGATTAGCCCACCGTTTGTGTTTCTTCCGGTGGTGAAGGATTTGTTGCGGCCTGATTTTCATGTTGCGGCCCAAAACTGTTGGGTCAAAAAGGGGGGTGCTTTCACCGGTGAGGTTAGGTATGTGCAAATTCGCTATCAATACATGCTATTCTACCACTTCTATTAATTTGACTTGCGTGCTTGTCTAATTGAAACTAGAGTTTATAGACAAAAAAGTTTTATTGAAACACCAAACAGTAAGGAGCAACTGAACCGACTAGTTCTGACGGGATGTGGTTTATTCCCGTCTAAGTTATGGCTTAGGCATGAATGATCTATGTTTGACTCAACCCGTATGGCAATTAGCCATTTTGTTGAGTCTTTTGATTACATAATTTCTTTGGAACATGTTTTGCATTGATGAACTGAGTATCGAGAAATTATTTGCATACAGAGACTTTTTATTTATTGAAAATTTGAAGTCGATGACTAATGTTTGTGCAGTGCGGAGATGCTTCTCAATTTGGGTATTCCTTGGGTTATCCTTGGACATTCTGAGAGGAGACTTATCTTAAATGAATCAAATGAGGTAAGTAGTGTTTTATGGCACAATGTCAGACTTTTCATTTGGTTTTGATATGTCTACAATCCTGGCTTCACATTTGTGTATCTTTTTCTTCTTATCGTGCACAAAAATAACATTGAGGCTCCCCTGTATATTTTGTTCAGTTAGTTGGGGATAAGGTTAAATATGCACTTTCTCAAGGATTAAAGGTGATAGCTTGTGTTGGTGAGACTCTTGAACAACGTGAAGCAGGATCTACTATGGATGTTGTTGCTTCACAAACTAAAGCAATTGCAGGTACATAATTTGCTGCCATGTACAAAACTTCTGCAGTTTTAAGGGTGTTCTGTATTAATGCTATTAAATTTCTATGTTTTATTTAGAAACTATGACCTTCATCAGGGTCTGGTAATTGATGATTAATTAAACTTAGATTTATGTTGAATACATGTTGTAGCTGGTATGTGGTAAAACTATATTGCTTGATATTTTAATTAAATTTGCATGCTATTCAAATTTTATTGTAGTGGTGGATTCCCCTTATGCACTAACGAAAATTATGTTTGCATTTTCTTGGAACTCAGAAGATCAGTGATTCTTTTTACTGTTCCCATAATTCATCACCTAGCATTACTCAGATTTTAAAGATGAAGGTTGACATATTCTTGAGGGACAGTTATCACAATGAGTAATTGAGAATTCTTGTGTTACATTAATACTTTGACATTGCATTTTATTTATTGTATATTCACACAGTTCTAACATATCAAGGTGCTTTTAGTTTGTGTTTATCTTACATCAATGGTTTAATGTTCTTGCTTTAAGTATATAATCTTGTTATAACTTAATGAAAAATCATGAATTTATATTGGCTATGACAGTGCTGTTTTTGAATTTTATTACATTCTAACTATCTTCTGCTTCAGCTTCTTTTTTTGGCTGTAACAAATTTCAAGAGTTGTACTTGCTATATTTAATTAATTGTTTTTTCATTTTTTTTTAAATATATGTGAAGAATGTTGAATAGTTGTATTATGCTTCAATTTATGTGCTAACTGTAAATTTAAAGTTTGTGTTCATAGTTGGTAATGATTGGTTTATTCCTGGGTCATCCTTTGATCATCGTTTCTTTTTCTGATGGCAGAGCGAGTCTCAGACTGGTCAAATATTGTTTTGGCCTATGAACCTGTGTGGGCTATTGGAACTGGGAAAGTTGCTACTCCAGCTCAAGCTCAGGAAGTGAGTCAGACCTTCACCTTATTTGTTGAAGTTATCATCTTTTTTAAATTGAATACACTCTCACTTCCTTTGCTTTACTTTGGATGAAGCATTGTTTCTGTTGCCTTTACTCTGTGTTTGTGTAACCTAGAGAACTCCTGGGAGATTGTTCAGGGAAACAATTTTGAGCTTTTCTGTTTTAGGAAATTGAGGTTGCAGAATGGAACGGAGCAACTTATTATGAAATTAACATTGCAGAATATTGTTACACTAGGAGCATGAGGGGGGGTGGGTTCAGTGACGGATCCAGGAATTTCATTCGATGGGGGCAAAAAATAAATAAAAAAATTTGTGGGGGCAAAATGTCAAAGTCTTATAGGGGGTAAAATGCAACTAAATATAAATATGTATACAATCTAAAGTTTTTTAAAGTTTGAGTGGGGACCGTGGTCCCCACTCGTCATTAAGTAAATCCGCCACTGGGTGGGTTAAGGGTAAAAAAAATGTTTGAAAAAATAAAACTACGTAAAGAAAAGACAAGGTATATCTACAACATTTATGCAATTTGGGATATATTCTTTTAATGTCTCATTTATTATGAGTGTTAGGACAGTGATCATTTTGATTGTGTCCTTTTTGGTGCATCTGATTGATAGGATAAGAGTACGTGAGTCATACTCTGTGTGCCAAATTTTAGCCATAATGTGAATTTTTGTATAAAGTTCTGGATTTCTCATGATGAATGGTTTTCATTTCTGTTTTATTCTTTTTTGTAATAGGTACATTCGGAACTGAGGAAATGGCTTCATGCAAACACCAGTCCTGAGGTTGCTGCAACAACCCGGATAATCTATGGAGGTATCTCTTCTTATTTGTCCCTTATGCGAAATTTTCTTTATACTGCCTTTCAGTTGTTTTGCAATGTACAACATAATTAATATTTTGGCTTTTAGTTATTCAATTTTCTTTCTTAATGAATTTTCAATCTTTTATTTCTTGAAGAAAAATAAGGTTTTTATACATTGAAACCTAGAGCAGAAAAAAGGAAGAATTTGTAGAAAATGCTGAGATGTTCATAGAATTTTATGTTGACATCCCCATCTGTTGAATAATCTGTTAAATGATCAAGTTGAAGCTAAACTTCAAAAGGGAACTTTATTTTGGTGCTTCATTAATATAAGGAGCTCTCTAAGGATCCAGTTATGCTAAGTTTAACAGTTTCATCATTGAGATCTCTGTCCTTGGATGAGGGGCCAGTAATGGCTGGTTGTATAAAAATCAACATAATGGTAGTATGTGTACATTGCTAAAGCGCTGAAGGTAATAGTTAAGGCTAACATCCGAAAGACAAGATTACCTATAATTTATTGATTCAAACTTTATGTGGGACATCAAAATCTTAAAAATGAGCCTTCCGCATTGTGTTAACGAAGGCATTCTTTCTCTAAGTTCTAAAGGGTGGTGATAATGCAAACTAAAATTACTAGTTTCAAAAAGTGTTTAATGACTCTCACATGTATTTTTATATGTATAGATTTGTAATTGCTTAGTTGAATGCCTGTTTCAGGATCCCTAAACGGTGCAAACTGCAAGGAATTGGCAGCTCAGCCTGATGTTGATGGATTTTTGGTCGGTGGAGCTTCTCTGAAGGTAAAGATGATGTTCCCTTCTCTTTTTTTGCTTCCTATATACTCAAGTTTCTGTTACTTATATTTGGTGCTTCTTTTGCTAACTTCATTCCAGCCGGAGTTCATTGACATTATCAAGTCTGCTGAGGTGAAGAAAAATGCCTGAGTTTGTTTCATGCCTAGCATGCTGAGTCGAGGAAGCTTTTTTTTTTCAGGAAGGTATATGGAATCCATTGGGTACAAATTTTAGACATTTTTGAGGAATAAGTTATGCTTTTTGTATTTTGATAAGCACTTCTAACTGAAGTTCGTTTATGAATAAATCTTACTATTTTTATCACCATGTCTAATTCATGCTCAGGTGCATGTGCTCTCTCTTTCTTTTTTGTTTAATAGTTTATGGATTCATCAATATTATGACTGTTGGAAAGAAAATTATATGAATCTCTTGTCACCATTTCAGAGATGTTAGATTGTGTTGACTGTTGACTGCCTCTTCTTCAGGTAAAATTATGGACTCGGGTTCAAATGGCACAAATTATACACTAGAACAACTGCTGATAAGGTTGATTTTGGTCTAAGATTTGAGTGTATAATTTAATTTGGGAAAATTCTTATGGGTTGATGGCATTGATCAGGTTTGGAGACTTAAATATTAGATTTGTGATTATTTTATAATGTATAACCATTTCCAAGCATGGTTGTCAAATCTCGTATCGTATCGTGTATCGAAAACCTGTATCGCGTATTGTATTGTATCATAGGATACGCTATTTTCAAAAAAATTACTATTATTCCAAAGATTAATTAAAGAATTTTGTGGTATTATTGGCTTCAAGTTATGGTATTACGTAATCAAAATTAATCACAAAATTAAAAATATATATCATTTTCTCTCAATTATTCATATCATTTTCAAAATCAATGTCAATATCTATATCTTCACTTGTATTATTATTATCATGCAAAATGGGCAACACATGTTCATTTTCACTTTCTCTATGCAAAATAGGTAAATTTAGACAGATTTCAGTGAACCAGGTTGGGTGACCTATATCCGACCGGAAATTTTTTTGGGCTTTTGGTCCAAATTAATGAAATCATATTGATATTTTTAAAGATACGAATAGGTACGTATCGTATCGTAGGATATATATCAACGTATCGAAAGGTTTATGATACGCTTTCTTATACGTATTATTAACGATTCGTATCGAATTGTATCGTAAGATATGTATCATGTATCGTAAGATGCTAAAAACCATGTTTCCAAGTACAGTTTGAAAATTAAATTTTATTTCTTAAAGTTGGAAATGAAGTCAAATGCTTACCTCGAAAAAAAAGTCAGTACCCATGGATAAGCGTATAAAGTCTTTTTAATTAACAGTATTCAAATGAATTTTTTAGCTAATAATTAAGCAAATTAATTAAATTAATTTGAGCAAAATCATTTTATAAAGCACTAAATATGCCAACCCAATGGATGTGTAGATTCTTAATCCCAACCATAGAAAAAAAAATGCAGTAAAAGTAAAGGTCTTAGTCTTACATGCCTTTTGTCCTTTATGCTTCCATATGCGTTATTGGTTGTTGAGCACAATTACAGAAAATGCAATGAATTTGTTTGAAGATGGGATGCTTGTGTGTTTATTTATTCATATCATATCATTTCATCTCATCTCATCTCATCTCATCCCATCTCATCTTGGGTTGGAAGTACAACTTCCTAATCAAATCTTATATCTCTATCACATGAACTCTTGCCATCATAATCAATTTTAGGGGGTTAAAAATCACTTCTCTAAATTTCTTGAAAAAGTGAAGCTAATCCAATTGGAGAAGTCAAACCTAAAGACGTGTTATGAAGGTCCAGATATTTAACATCACTGGAGTTTAGGGCTGTAAACGAGTCGAGCCGAGTCGAGTCGATTTTCGTCTTATCGAGCTCGACTTGTTTGCTACAGGGTTGAGCTCGAGTTCGAGCTCGAGCCTGACGAGCTTGGGAAAAGCGACTTGAACTCAAGCTCGATCGAGTTCGAGTCGAGCTCGAGCCCCAATCGAGCTCTCGTGCCCCAATCGACTCAAGCTCGTTAAGGCTCAATCAAACCGACCGAGCCAATTTCCCCCCTTACTTAGAGCCTTCCTTCTTTACATCCAATGTTGAATTTACCTTCAGTTTATCTGAAGTCACAAGAAAACCAAGAATGAAATGCAACTGCTAAACCAATTTGCGAAACATGATACACAATACTATCATGACAACAAAAGCCACATGTGGATCTTCATTCAAAAACATTACAATAGGAAATAGCCAAAACAATTGCAGATAAAATGTTTTTGATCACACAATACAAAAAGAAAAAGAAAAAAAACCTCATATTCATAATTAATAATGTTTACTGTTCCATCAACACCGTTTATTACAAGACACTGATGAAACACAAATGCTTTTTGACTAGGACTGTCAGACGAGTCGAGCCGCTCGTAAGCTGACTTTTCTTATAATCTATGGGCATAATCTTTTTGTATTTCTATCAAATGTGCTTGTTATAAAAAAAATTAGCAACCATGACATCTTCGGATTTATCTGGTTTGCTGTCATCCCCACCGATCTCCTAAAAACATGTCCTTTTGCATCTTATCGTTCAAATTAATTATAAGCTAAAGTTCAATGCTTAGTTGAATTGTTGCTAATGACTAATGAGGTTTTTAAAGTTCTTTGGAATGCAGCATGAAATCAATGAACAAACAACTCAAAAGCAAACATAAATTCAAAAGCAAAACAACTCATAAGCATAACAAACAACTCCGAAAATACTGTGCAAAATCAATGAATTCGTCAATCCTCTGGAATGCAGCGTGAAAAAGATGAAAGAAGAGATGTAAAACTCACCGGTGGCTACAAAAACACGAGATGAAGCCTGTCAGTTTCATGGTGGTGAGATTTCGTGATTTGGGGGTTTACGCTTCAGTCAATTTGGGGGAGAAGAGTTAGCAAGCCTGGTTTCAAGCTTTGAGGGATGAAATTGCGGCTTGTGTGAGTGTTTTTACGGTCGGCAAGATCGGCGACGGCGACAGAGACCACTGATTTCACGACAAGGTTTGGGGTTAGGGTTCTTCGTTGGGTTTGCAATTTGGGGGAAATTGATTTGGGGGTGAAATTTGATGTTTTACGATTTTGCACTTTGGGCGGGAGGGGACGGGGGAGAAAGGGGGGGTACGGTCAGTTTTTTTAAATTTTGTAACTGCTATATAACAGTCAAGTCCCTTATGGTTTATAAAACTCACCAAAAGCACCCTGCATAAGCAAGCCAGCCCAGGCTCACGAGCCCACGAGTCGAGCCCCCCCATGTTTGAATTCGACTCGGTTAATAAACCGAGTTCAAGCCGAGTTAACTCGACAATTGTCGAGTTGAGCCCGGCTCGACTCGTCAGACAGTCCTATTGGAGTCACAAATCCATGGAAAGCCCAAACTCAAATTATGATCTAAGAGTCCAATAACCAAGTACCAATATGTGGTGGTATGAATATGAATAAAGGGATCAACTTTTCACCATAAGGAAAGGAAAGCCAAAAGCTTTGCTAATATGTAAAGGGAACCATAAAACCTAATTTCTAACCCTAGTGTTTATGTTTTTGTGGAAATTTTTAAGTGGTTTAATATAAAAAATTTCACTCGAGCATTCGGTGTTAGAAGGATCAAATTAAATCACAATGATCAATTCCTGATACACTTTTTACCTCTACAAGTAAATTCCATTCATCATCATTATAGAGTCTATTATTCAGCTTTGTCTGTTCACCTCACATTGCCCAAAAACTTTATTTAAATTTAGGTTCAAAACTTTCACTTTGATTTTCCAATGAAAACACCAAATATCCTTATTCTAGATTCGACAATTTCTTACTATAATTGTCACTGGTTCTCAGTAAAGTCAATAGAAACAACCACTACCATCGCTTACAGTTCTAAGCAAATTATAGGAGTGACAAATGTCACTTATATATGTGTGTGTGGGTTCCAATCCTTTTATTTTTCACTATTTTGACGTATTTTTAATTCTTTAAATGATGCATTTGATACTACAAATTGTATTTAACTTGTCATTTCTAAGATGAATTAACTGTGCAAATCATATTAAATGTTTTGCAAAGGCTGAAAGATGGTGTCATAGTTTTATATATGTATTAAGGTGAGAAAAAAAAAAAAAAAAAAAATATATATATATATATATATATATTTTGTAGTAATTAAAATAATTGGCCTACAGTTTGGTTAGCTGAGTGGTCCAGGATGGTTTGCGAGGAGGCTTTCAGTTGTAGAATTATTGAATTAATAATAACAAAAATGCCTAACAATAAAGAAGGAAGGTATGCATCCAAGAAAAGAAAGCAACATCCCCTTACTCGCCATTTAATTTTTGTTATCATTGATTGTGGCTGTGTAATGTTAATTTAATATTTTAATTATGTTGAGAAATCAAGTCTCCTAGTTTTCTCATATTGTATCTTTAGTAGGCTAGTAGTTGTATAAGATAGACTATTGTTCTGTGTTTTGTATTTTGTATTTAGATAATTATAGCTATTATTCTGGATCATAAACTTTAAGATCTAAGGCTTGTATATTGGCTATTTATGTTTACTGATTGTGAAACTAATATTGTAGGTTTATCCTTAACATCTCTTGTTTCCTACTATTGCTTTTTTTTCTACTAATTATTCAAGGTTTAACCTTGATTTTAATGGTGAAAATTAATTTTGAAAGTTATGGCCCTCAACAATTAAAGAAGTCATAATCTATAATCATACACAACCTTACCCTAATATACATTTATTTTGTGTATACTAATTTGAGAATGTGCTAATTATATATTTATTGGTATCATAATGATAATCTTAGAAGATTCATCTAAATCATGTAAGTATCACTTAAAAATGAAATGGGATGTAGTGATAAAAGAGAGTAGACATTTGGTAAAATATCACTTTCTTATTTGGAAAAACCTGTATAGTTGGATAGATGGTTTTATGACAAGAATTTAAGCTCTGTAAGTATAGATGTGGACAAGTTTGATAGAAATTGTTGAGAAGGAGCAAACCACTACTATGAGTCGGCCCTTTTTTTTTTTTTAAATAATCTGAGTAAAGTGTTTAATGAAGATAAAGTATATTCTTGTATAGTTTGGGTAGTTATAAATTTTTAATTTAAGATAAAGACTTTTTACTATAGGTGTATTTATGTGAAAATAAATGGTAAACAAACAATAATAAACGTCTTATATCTTAAATCTTAAAGAGATATAAACCTAAAATAAATAAATCAGCCTTTAAATTGCTATTTGACTGACCCTTTTTTTTTATGACCATATGGACTAATAGAAATGATTACAATACCTAATTACCAAGGATCAAATGGAGAGTGGGTGG